GGGCATTGTTGCATATTAACACATTGAAAATGTTTATCGTTTTGAGGAAAAAATGTGAATACTTGGTGAATCTGGGTAGGGGTGTGGTTACGATATTAAGTCAGCTTGTATGTCCTTGGTGAAAGACTAGAAACCCACGCGGATAAGTGTCAAGCTTTCCGGTTAATATTGGTAAAAATGACAAATTCGTAGTACTTGTATAGTCTACTTGCAGCCACGTATCTAGAGATTCACAAAGTTGTATTCATAGTCCTATTTTCTATTGGAAAAGGAAATGCTTTATGAATTGTGATATAAACCTGGTACTGCATAGTTTTTGAAAAGAGATATAAATGTTTGTCACAAGCATTGCATATGTTAAGATTCATAAATTGTGTCGTAGTATTTCTACTGGATTTTAGCTCACCCTATGTAGAAAATCATTTTCGGGTGCTGATGATATGCCTCTGCCAAGGCAATAGGTTGGGAGGACTTAGAACATGAGCTTCATTTTGTTTACTTGTAATTATTTTTATACAAGCCTAGGGCTTTATCTATATTGAGTTGAAAACTCACTTTTGTTGTAACAAAATACCATATTGGAAAATTGTAGTTATTAGGGCGTTATCTTATTTGTTTATGTTTATCCCATTTCCTTATCTTGTAACATATGTTATAGATTCAGAGTTAGACTTGTGAACATATATTTGCATATGTTACTCTTTTATACAAGCAATTGGAATTAATGGAGGATAATTATTTTTGCTTAAGTTGTTATTTAATAAACATGATATATGGTTTATTGTCATTTATTTCGGGGTGTTACAAAATATATATATATATATTGTAATATGCCCATGGTAGGTTGGGGAAAACTATTCACCCAAAATTTATTTTAATCACCCAAAAAGGTTGGAGAAAACTTGCAAAACAAGTTGCCGCAAGGCCACAAGATCTTTTATCTCTTTTGAAGAGTCAGGGATGAGAATAAATTTTAATGCATTTGTGGGTCCTAATTGGACCTAATAATATATTCTTGAGAATAAATTTTAATGCATTTGTGGGTCCTAGTTGGACCTAATAATATATTCTTGACTCGTGGAAGGAAAGTCACAAAAATCTTTATCTTTATCTCAAAATATTCATAATTACTTAATGATGTATTGAGATTTTTGTACACTAATATTCTTATATAATTCAAAATTTCTAAATAGTTTTGGACAAGTTAAAAGAATTTTGGAATAAAGGACCTTTGGCCAGGAGGGAGGGGCATGTGAGGTTAACAAGTGATCAGGTGGGTTTGGTCGGGTTGTCTAGGCCACACCCAAATTGTATTGAGAGTTGTACAAATTCGATTATCAATTTGATACCTTGTCTGTCCCAACTCAATTCCACCTCAATAAATTTAACTTAGGCTAAGCTCAAGTAGTCTACAATTTTATTTTATTTTTTTAATTTAGACTTTCAAATTATTTTCCAAGCCCACACTATATTCAAAATATATGTTCCTCGAGTCTTAAAAAAATTCTGGTTAAACTTGGATTTGTGAAGTTAGGCCTGAGTGGCACCTATGTGCTCTTTGTAATCCAGAGAGCTAAAAAATAGCTTATGGGTTTAAAAGTTGTATTACAAAATATTAACTATTTTACTTGGTTGCCAAATACTTATGTTTAATTAATTGTATTTTTCAAAAAAAAAAAAAAAAAATTAAGCCGAAATTTTGACTCTTTTGGTTAATTTTATTTATTTATTTTAAATGTTCATTTTTATTTGGTAAGCTTGGTGCAAAATAGGCAAACTTTTTAGTCTTTATTTGAGCTTTTGTGCCCATGCCAAACATGATTTTTGCGATTATAAAAATCCGAAAAAAAAACAAGGGACAGAGATGTAGGAGATCAACCCAAGTTGAGTTGGCTACAGAGATTCTGGCCATGTGAAGGAAAGTAGCAGCCAGCTACATGGTGGGGAAGCCATGTGAGTTGGCCATGAGGCCATGAGGCCATGAAGCAATCTGGAAAGCCACCGAAATGGGCTGGAAGCCAGCTCATTTCAAAGGGTGCCTCTTGCCTTTGTAATCTCTATATATAGAGAAACTAAGGAGAGTTGAGATAGGGCATCATAGCAAATCAGAGAGTGTGAGAGAGTGTGTTATATAGAGAGACAGTGAGTTGAGAGTGTGTAATCTCCTCCATTTGTTGATATATAACAACATCGCTCCCGTGGACGTAGGCCGGTTTGCCGAACCACGTTAAAAGTCTTGTGTTTTTGCTTGTGAGTGTCCCCTGGTGTGCCCAAGATCCGCAACAATTGGTATCAGAGCCCGGGTGGAGAAAAATCGAGTTTTTTCCGAAAGTGTCCAGATTTCGAAGTGGTCGAAATCCACTTTTGAGCACACCAGGAGGAAGGTCAGGAGGAGAGGAGTCCAAAACTTCAAACCACAGGCCAATCGGAGGTCTAACGCGCTGCCACGCGCCACCTGAATATCGCGAGTGAAGGCCACTCGCACCCACGCGCCCCACGCGCCGACGAAGGAAGAAGACGAGTGGGGGCGCGCGTGAAGCTGACGTCAGGCTGACGTCATCCTGAGCCGAGCCGAGCCGTCGAGCCGTTGACCGCGCCGCTGACCAGGCCGAGCCGCGCCGGAGCCGCGCCGCCAGCCAAGCCGCGCCGCTGAGCCGCCGTTGACCGCGCCCCTGCGCCGTTGACCGAGCCGCTGACTGCGCCGTTGACCAGCCGATCCGGAGGAATTATCTGGTGCTTCTCAGGCGCACCAGATTCAGCAAATCTGAACCGTTGAAACTGTTTTGGCTAGATCTAGGCCATTCGGAGTCCGTTTTTTGGCGATCCAATAGTGCGTTCCAACTATTTGAAATATTCCGGACCCATCCGTACGGTCAGATTCTTAAATCGGAATTTCTTTAAAAAGGGAAGAAATTTACAATGGCAGGAAAAGGCGCAAGTTTCATGATTGAGCCTTTTAATGGTAGTAATGACTTTACCCTGTGGCAGCAAAGGGTGAAAAACATTTTAACACGAGAAGGTCTGGTGAAAGCTCTTCTCAAAAAGTCCAACAAACCGGAAGACATGAAGGATGACAAGTGGGAGGAGTTGAGGGAATTGGCAAATAGTACAATTCAGTTGTATCTCGGGAACAACACACTCCGGGAAGTCATCAGTGAAGTAGATCCGGCGGAGCTATGGGCAAAGTTAGAGATGAGGTACAAGTTAAAGTCTTTGACAAACCGGTTATCTCTGAAGAGGTAGCTATATACACTTATAATGCCAGAAGGTGCGAACCTCACAGAACATCTGGACGAGTTCAATAGGATCACAATGGAATTGGACACCATTGGAGACAAGACCCAGGAGGAAGATAGGGCTATGATCTTGTTGGTCTCTCTACCTGCATCATATGAGCATCTCAGGACAACTCTATTGTACGGGAAGGATGCTCTTGGACTGGATGCTCTTGGACTGGATGAGGTGATTGCTACGCTCATTTCTCATGAGTCGATGAAGAAACAGGAAGGTAGCAGTAGCAAACACCCAGAAGGAAATGCCATGGTTGCCTCAGAAAATGAGCAAGGCAGAGGTAGGTCCAATGATAGACGGGGTAGATCCAAATCAAGAGGACGTTCGCAATCAAGGTCAGGCTTCAGGAGAAAGTGTTATTACTGTGATCAGGAGGATCACCTCATAAAAGACTGTGCAAAGCTCAAGGAGGACAAGGCACACAAGGAACAGGCGAGCTCATCAAATGTCGCTGCTGCAGTAAATGCTAAGGATGAGTATGCATTTACAGTTTCGTCGAGTATGACGAAACCTGACTGGATCTTAGATTCCGGAAGCACATATCATATATGCATGGATAAGAAACTTTTTTCTACCTACCAAGCCAAGGATGGAGGTATTGTTCGAGTGGCTAACAACACTGTGAGTAAGATTGTTGGCATGGGAATAGTACGGCTGAGAATGGAAGATGGAAAAATTTTCACGTTGTATGGAGTCCGACACGTGCCAAGACTGAAGAAGAATCTAATTTCCTTAAGTATGCTAGACATGAAGGGTTATAGCTTCACATCTAGCAAAGGAAATCTCAAAGTCATCCATGGAGATACGGTGATGCTACATGGACGACTGGAGGGGAATCTGTACAGGCTTGGGGAGAAGGTTGTGACAGACGGAGTTACTGTCACTTACCGGGCAAGACGTACAAGACATGCACAAAAGAGACATAGGGCCCAGCAGACATGGCAACCAAAGTGTACAAGAACGCATGGAGGCAGTTCGGAGATGCACAAGACGGAGCCATTGCGGCCAATTTTAAAGACAGCTCAGAGCAAAGAGACCAAGACGGCAAAGCATGTCCCAGGGAAGAAAGTTTCTTTTGCTCCTGAATTAGAGACATATTGGGATCTCTCCAAGACTGGATGGAAGGGAGAGATGCCATCGCAAAGAGTTGCAAAGTAAGCTTTGCATGGCACCCCAGTGAGGGGGTGCTGGGCACTCCAGGCAGGGAGTGCTATTATGGATCACCTCATATGGGTTGAGGGGGTGATTTGTAGGAGATCAACCCAAGTTGAGTTGGCTACAGAGATTCTGGCCATGTGAAGGAAAGTAGCAGCCAGCTACATGGTGGGGAAGCCATGTGAGTTGGCCATGAGGCCATGAGGCCATGAAGCAATCTGGAAAGCCACCGAAATGGGCTGGCAGCCAGCTCATTTCAAAGGGTGCTTCTTGCCTTTGTAATCTCTATATATAGAGAAGCTAAGGAGAGTTGAGATAGGGCATCATAGCAAATCAGAGAGTGTGAGAGAGTGTGTTATATAGAGAGACAGTGAGTTGAGAGTGTGTAATCTCCTCCATTTGTTGATATATAACAACATCGCTCCCGTGGACGTAGGCCGGTTTGCCGAACCACGTTAAAAGTCTTGTGTTTTTGCTTGTGAGTGTCCCCTGGTGTGCCCAAGATCCGCAACAACATACACGCCCCATATATTCCTCAGCAATAGAACAACAACATGCCTATTTACGAAGTTAAGGCTTTTTGGGATGAATATGAAGTTAAGGCTTTTAATCAACCCCTGAATGAAGAAGAACTGAAGGGTATATTCAAGAAGCACGACAAAAATGGCAATGGACGTCTGTCGAGAAAAGAGCTGAAAAAAACCTTTGAAGAACTTGGAGCTTGGATTCCCGACTGGAGAGCTTTGCGGGACTTTGCAACGCAGATGCCAATGGTTATGGATTCATCTCCGAGGAGGAGATGAACAGCCTCATCTTATATGCTCTGTAATACTAAAATTAAGGATTCAAATACTGTGGTGCTTCAATTACTACTATATATCATAATAAATGGAAACTCACTTCCTTCATTGTTTTTTAATCTTTATTCAGCTTTTTTTACTACCATCATGTTTAAAAATAAATATTTTAAAAAATTATCAAAAAAATGAAATGTATCAATCAAATAAAAATATTTGATGGATCCATCTATCCAATAGATGTAACCTTTTCAATCTCAAAATTTCTTATAAGGGACTGATTTCTCTTCGATATATTAATGACTTGAATCTATTAATGACTCGATATGTACAACAGGTTTGGCCCTAAAGAATGTAGGCAAGATAGTCTCTTAAGTCTCAAATTCTGTCTAAAAGTTATGTACTTTAAATAATTTTAAATTTCATGTTATGTTTGGTTTATTGAAGTAAAACGGGATGAAATAATTATATCATATGAAATCATCGTTTATCATTGTGAATTTTATATAGAGGTTAATGAATAACCATTTAATTTCATTTGAATTGTTTGTAGAATGTTATCGACTATACCAATCACAATTATTTTTGAAAAAATGAATTTTTAAGTTGAAATTGATAATATTTTTACATTCAATCAGCTACGTCAAGAAAAAAAAAAAGTTTAAATGAATAAATAATGTTACCCTACCAAGATGCAAAAAATCTATTTCAATAATTATAATTTACATCTCTCAATAACAATGATTTATGTCAACTGTAAAAGTCATATGAAATTGTTCAAAAATACAATATTTTCAAATATGATTTACCACCAAATAATCTCTCTGCTGACTATATAATCTCTCTTGCCCTTGTCCTATTATTGATGTTGGAAAAGATTATAGTGCACATTCCTCAAAAGGTGTGTATCATATACACCTTATAATTTAAACATGTATATATAATTTTATATTTTTTGAGTTATATCTAAAAAAAAAAAAAGAGGTCATAATCAAACACAAATGAGACATTATGTCATAACTATAGAAAAAAAATGATTATAATTAAAGAATGAATATACATATGACAAGAGGCGTGTATAATAGAATTCTCCATTGATGTTTCAATAGGCTTTGTTTGTACCTGTTCTTATGTTTCACCAATATTATTTTCTTCTTTGTTGAGGAAGAAAAAAATTAATGGCTGAGCATTTCTCATGGCCGAAAGCTTCTGAAACTTTTGATCAACTGATAAAATATTTATTGTCGAAGTCCTTTCAGAAGTTCGCCAAACACCTCCTTTGGATTTATTGTCAAGTAGACTTTCTTGTAGCCTTTTTAAAGACACAACACTACAGACTCAGAAATAATTGTCCAAAATTTACTCAGAAATGAGAATCAATAGTTCAAATTTATTTCACTCATAGACCCCACACTTTCTTAATTTAACCTACGCTACAAATGTCCATTCTAGATCAATTCTGGATTCCCAAATTTTGGGTCCCTAGCTTTTTTATTTTAAAACTAATATTTTCTATTATTTATTTATTTTATTTTTAAGGATAATACCAATTCTTAGTCAAAAGATGCTAAAACTTACCATTTACTTATTTTATTTTTTGGGGGACAATAACAATTAAGCCTAGTTTGGGAAGACTAAATAAGTGTATTTTTTGACTTTTTATGAAATATGGGTTGAGTTTGGGTTGAGTTTGAAGTGATGTGTTAGAGAGATAATTTGGTTGTGGATCTTAAAAAATAAAATAAAATAAAAAAATAAAATAAAATAAAATAAAATAAAATAAAATAAAATTAGTTGTGAACCTGAAAAAATAAATAAATAAAAAAAAAGAAAAAAGATTGAATGTATATTTAGTTTTAGTTGTAAATCTTAAAATATATATATATATATATATATATGGGGAAATTAGTGGGTACCCATACCCAACCCATCCCCTGTGGATATTTAAAGAATATCACCTACCCTACCCAATGGATAAGAAAAAGAGAGAAAAACCCATGTATTTGGGTTGGGTCTCTATGGATACCCACAGAGTAGGTTATCCATTGCCATCCCTAAAAAGTAGTGTAGGATGAATCTCTATTTTTGTGTAAGGGCACGATTGAGAATCTACGCAACAAGGTGGGATTTTAAAGCATTTGCAACATGCTTCAAATTATAGTCAAAAGATGCTAAAGCTTATCATGATGAGGACGTAACTTTTTCTTTTTCTTTTCTTTTTTTATTTATTAATTAGTCCAAATAAACCTTTTGAAACAAATTTATTCCACTTTTAAAGAGTCAGTGATAAGAATAAATTCAGAAAAACATATTCTAATATTATATTAAATCTAAAATCCTATTAGAAGCAAAAAAAAAAACTTTATTATTTATATCATAAACATTCAAAATCTAAATTCTATACCACAATCAAGTTGTAAGATTATGGATTCTCATTGGAAGGAAGTCCACAAAATCTTTTCTCTTTGTTTCAAAATATTTATAACTACTGAATTATGTATTGAGATTTTGGTATTTTGATATTCTTATATAATTCAAAGTTTTTGAATATATTTTCGGACAAGAAGAAAAAAGAATTTTGGAGTAGAAGACCCGTTGCTGGGGAAGGAGGAGCATGTGAGACTAATAAATTGAACTTAGGAAGCTCATCAATTAATCTACAATTTTTTTATTTTTATTTTTTAAAATTTATAATTTCGAATTATTTTTCAAGCCCACAATGTATTCAAAATATACGTTCCTTGTCTTCGAAAAATTCTGGTTAAACTTGGATTTGTGGGGTTAGGCTCACCTGACTCGTAAGTGTCAGCGTGGCACTTATGTGCTCTTTCTAATCCAGAAAGCTAAAAATTAACTTATAGGCTTAAAAAGTTGGATTACAAAATACTAGCTATTTTACTTGGTATTTGACTACATGTTGGTTGCCAAATACTTCAGTTTAATTAAACATATTTTTCAAATATAAAAATTTAAACCAAAATTTTTACTATTTTGGCTAATTTTATTTATTTATTTTAAATGTTCATTTTTATTGGCAAAGCTTGGTGCAAAAAGGGCAAACTTTTTTTGTCGGTTTCGTTTGGAAAGAGTTAATTTAACTTAGTTTTTTAGTTAATTTAACTTGGCTAAATTAGTTTCGTTCGGAAAGAATTTTTGGCTTGTTTTTGGTTTAGATGTGATAGTTGTAAAAAAAAAAAATGAAATAATTATGATTTTGATGTGATATATGTCTTATCTAAGCTTATTTTGTCTTTTTGTACATTTTTTAATTCCAACTAAGGGGGTGTTTGGGATGATTTAAATAAGTATATATATTTTATTTTTTTTTTACGAAAAAACGTGAAATATGAGTTGAATTTGAAATGATATGGTAAAGAAATGATGCGACTCAAATAAGATAATATGCTAAAATAGTATGTGCTTTAGCACATGTCAAACACCCCTAAATTGCCAAACCGGAACTTTATGTCCATGCCAGATATGATTTTTTCAATTATAAAAATCGGGAAAAAAAAGAAGATAAATTTGTTTGTTTGATTGTTTTTTGTTTTTTTAAGATGGTGAAAAGAAGATAAGTTGGAATAATATAAAGTTGTAGGTAAGTTGATGCCAAGATCATAGAACTGCTATATAAAGTTGATTATCATTTCTTATCACACAACACACGGACACACTCAAGAACCCAGCAATAGAAACAACAACATGCCTATTTACGAACATAATAAGGTAATAATAGACCAACCCCTTATGAAGAGCAGCTGAAGGGTATATTCAAGAAGCACGACAAAAATGGCGATGGACGTCTGTCGAGGAAAGAGCTGAAAAAAGCCTTTGAAGAACTTGGAGCTTGGATTCCCGATTGGAGAGCTTGGCGCGGCCTTTCCAATGCTGATGCCAATGGCGATGGATTCATCTCCGAGGAGGAGATGAACAGTCTCGTCTTATATGCTATGCGGTTTGGTTATACTGTTAAGTAAACATTTTGTAATTAAAAAAAAAATAAAAAAGACTTCGTAATAAAATTAAGGATTCAAACACTGTGGTCCTTTAATTTCTACTATATATGATAATAAATGGAAACTCACTTCCTTCCTTATTTTTGAATCTTTATGCAGCATTTTTTTTTTTTTTTTTTAACAATTGTCTTTTAAAAAAATATTTTAAGAAATTATCAAAATAAAATAAAATATGTGGATCAAATAAAAATGTTGGATGGATCTATCTATCCAATAAATATGACCTCCTCAATCTCGGAATTTCCTAAAAGTGACTGATTTTTTCTTTGGTCTGAGCCCCGTTTAAAAGTTAGGTTAAATAATTTTAAATTTTATGTTATGTTTGGTTTATTGAAGTAAAATGACATGAAATAATTATGCCATTATAATATTAATATTTGTTCTTATGATTGATTTACTCAAAAAATGAATAAAAAGAATTTATTACATAAGAAATCATCATTTATATTGTGAATTCCATAGAGAAGTTAAAGAATTAGATTGTTCATAATATTTTTACATCCAATCAGCTAGTGTCAGGAAAAAAAGTTTGAATAAATAAATAAGGGTAAATTATACAAATAGTTATTGTAATTTATACGATGTATCAATTTGATTTATGTTATTTTAATTTGCTTGATTTTACTTATTAATTTAACGGATTGTATTATATTGGTCCAATAAATAACGATCGTTAGGTTTGGTGGACACAAACTCAAATGATGTGTTAATTTGTTCTCTATAGTTTACACAATGTGTCAATTTGGTCTCTGTCAAAACCGAGCAAATTAAAATAGCATGGACCAAATTGACACATCGTATAATTACGGAGACCAAATTGACATATCGTTTGAGCATGTGACAACTTTCCTTCTACCAAACCTAACCGCCATTATTTATTGGACCAATATGACACAATTATTAAATTAAGGGATACAATTGAGCAAATTACAATAACATAGGCTAAATTGATACATCGTATAAACTACATAGACCATTTGCATAATTTACTCAATAAATAATGCTACCCTTCCAAGATACCAAAAATCTATCTCAATAATTATGATTTATGTCGATTGGTTTTCTTATTAGAAAAAACTTCCTGAATAAAATATGAAAAATGATATGTAAGTCCACTTTTTAGATCCATTTTCTAAACCCAGGGATATCTAAATAATATAGTTAGTTGATGATTAGAGAATATATATAAGAGAGAATATTGCCTTTAATATCTAATTGATTGTCACATTACTGTGTTTGAAAATTAAGTTTAATTTTTTTGTCTTGAATAACAATGCTCATAATATTTACTTTGCAAGTCCTTTCAAAAGTTCTCCAAACACTACTTTGGATTTAGAGCTTATTTGGAAATTAACTATTTTAGTTATTTTTTTAATTTTTTACAAAAAAAATATTTAAAATATATATATATATATATTTTGTTGGAATAAAGTGTTGTTGATTTTTTTGACTATTTTAACAAAAAAATCAACATGCTACTATCAAGTAGACTTTCTCATAGCCTTTTAAAACTATTTCCTATTATTTAGGGTTGGTTTGAAAATATGTTATTTTAATAATTTTTTGACTTTTTAATTAAAATATGAAATGAAAAAAATTAATATATTTAAAATGATTTTTTTGACTATTTATAAAATATGTCCAATTCTTAGTGAAGAGATGCTAAAGCTTATCAAGACCGTGAGCACCCAATAATGGTAGGGCTTACATGACCAGGAGTATCTAATAACTTTTCTCATATGAAACTTTTCAAGAGTGAGTGTTAAGAATAAAGTCAGAAAAATATATTCTAATATTATATTAAATCTAAAATCTTAAACTACTAAAAGAAAAAAAAAAAAAAAACTTTATTATTTGTGTCATAAATATTCAAATTCTAAATTATGTACACAATCAAGTTACAAGATTTTGTAATCCCACTGACATTCACAGACAAAAGATAGATCCATCAAAACAAGTAGAAATATATAACATATAAAGATGATCAAGAGTATTCTAATATTATATTAAATCTATAATCTTAAAGGAAAAATTAGTCTAGGGTCCCTCCCCCACTTTTCGTAATGGAAAAGATCCATTAAATTATTTTTTGATGTCTAAGATCCCTAAACATATATCAAAGAAATTTGACTATCACCATCCCTAACGCTAGTAAACGACAGAAAACAAGACTTTGTGCTTGTTGTATGGGTTCTATCACCACTTCCCTAATATATATATATATATATATATTTATATTTATGTTTATTACCTTAGGGTTTAAATCACAGATCTATTGTCTTCCTCATTCTCTCTGGTCTTCAACTGCTCCGAATCATATTGATGATCTATAATACTGTTTCGATTCTTGAAGAACTCTTCCTGAGAAGCCCTGAGATTCTCATAAGCAACACATAGACACTTGTGAGAAGCATAACCAGCCTTGACGTTTTTTTCTCCCAAGCTCTCTCCACCATTTTCTGCTTCCCCGTCGTCTCCGGCAACATCTCTCTTCGCTACCTACCTGTCTCCTTCAACCAAGACATTGGCTCCACCACTCCTTTCTTCACTGCCATCTTCGCCTTCCTCATCACTTTCAAGAAAGAGTCCCCCCAGGTATTTCAATTGACAAATTGATCAAATCAGAGTTTTATAGTTCCAGAGAAAATTCAGAATTTCTTTGGGTTCAACTCTCTGGCTTGAATTGAAATTTCTCTAGGTTGATCCAGAGAAATTCTGTGGTTTGGATTGACCAAAAAGATATGTATGGTCACTGAGATATGTATATAAACTCTTTTTGGCATAAATTCCAACTAAGAATGGAAAAATAATGGCAAAACACAAACTTTGTAACCTCAAATTTGAAATTTCTACACCCTAGAGTTTGATCTCAAATATCATAAACTAAACAAATAAATAACAAAAGAAAAAAAATAAAACTTCTTTCAAGTTGTTCCAATATGGGTCAAAAAAGATTAGTGCATTACGTGCTGAATTTTCTCTAGGTTGAAACCAGATAAATTCTCTGGTTTTTAAACTGAATTTTCTCTGGGTTGGTCTAGAGAAATTCTTTGGTTTTTAAACTGAATTTTCCCGATTCAAGAATTTCAGTATTATGGAGATCCAGGTAGATTTCGGTAAATCAACACAAATCTCATGGGTAATTCAATCAAGGTAAGTATGCATCAGCTTCTCAAATTTCAGTCCAACAACCCAGAGAAAATTCAGACCAACCAAACCAGAGAAATTCTATGGACCAACCCAGAGAAAGTCCAGAGAAAATTCAGTTCAGACCAAAGAAAATTCAGTCTAAACCAAAGAATTTCTCTGGACCATGTAAACAAACCCACGGTGGTAACGCTGCAAATTCAAACAGGTGAAGAAATTATGAAAATATTGAGGAATTTTCTCTGGACCAATTTTCCCTGGATCAACTTGAGGGACCTTAGACATCATGAAAATATTGAGTATCCTTTATGCTGTAAAGTCTTAATACCAGGGACCTGAAAAAAATTCCCCAATCTTAAACAATTAGAAGAAAAAAAAAATAACTTTATTATTTGTGTTACAAACATTCAAATCCTAAATTTTGTACCACAATCCAATTGCAAGATTCTGGATTCCCACTGACCTTCATAGAAAAAAGATAGATAGATCCATCAACATAAGTAAGAATATATAACATATAAAGATGATGAGGAGTATCAATAACTTCCCATATGAAACTTTTGAAGAGTTAGTGATAAGAATAAATTCAGAAAAACATATTCTAATATTATATTAAATCTAAAATCTTAAACTATTAGGGGGGAAAAAAATAAATAAATAATAAAAAATAAAAACCTTGTTACTTATATAGTAAACATTCAAATTCTAAATTCTCTACCACAATCAAGTTGCAAAATTCTGGATTCCCACTAGCCTTCACAAAAAAAAGATGAATAGATCCATTAAATAGGAATTTATAACATATAAAGGAGAGGCCACAAAGAACATATAACTCTTATATAAAGATCATTATAAATTTATTCCCCCCAACAGATTCTTATTAGTGAGTGCAGAGAGTAAGCAAAGGCAACATTACGCCTTTTCCACTTAAAGCTACCGAACCAGAGGAACGCCTCATTCAAGAGCAGTTGAAGAGTATTTTCATGAGGCATGACAAAAAGGTCAATGGATGTCTCTGCCGGGAAGAGCTAAAAATGGGTTTTAAAGATCCTTATAAATTTCATGTTTTGTTTCCTGGATGGTGATTGCAAATCTGATGCTGACGAAGATGGAATCATCTCCAAGGACGAGATGGATGGTCTCATCAGATATGATTGTGAATTATTAGGATATAATTAAAGTTAAGTAGTGGATTAATGACGATTACGAATATGTAACACCATGTGGTGAAGTAACATCACTCTTAAATATCTATGTGTGTGCGCGCATGTGTGTACATGTAGCGAAGCTGCACCTTCCTTAATTACTATGATGAATGATAATAAATAAATAAATAAAATGTAACTTTCATCTTGTTTATTCAGATTCTTTATAAATTTGCTTATTTTTGGATTCATTTAATCCTCAATCATCTTATAATTTTGAATATCGAAAACATTCCATTTTTTTGTTTGTATATATATATATATGTTTTAAAATTCTATTAATTTATTATGTAAATGTCATTTGTTAAATAAATAAATAAATAAAATGTAACTTTCATCTTGTTTATTCAGATTCTTTATAAATTTGCTTATTTTTGGATTCATTTAATCCTCAATCATCTTATAATTTTGAATATCGAAAACATTCCATTTTTTTGTTTGTATATATATATGTTTTAAAATTCTATTAATTTATTATGTAAATGTCATTTGTTATTATTATTATTATTTATAAAAAAAATTATAGATGCATATTTTTTTTAGTAATGTTATACTTACCACCATTTTATATCATTTTTAATGTACAACACTGCGTTGGAGAAAGAAAATGCTCTTGATAACAAATTCAAGAAAATTTCATTTTTATTCATATACTGTCTCAATGATCAAGTACATCCCTCAGATTTCGAATAATTTCAATTTTATCCCTAAATTTTTGAAATAGTATCAATACTACACTTGCCGTCACATTTGGAACCGAAAAAGTTAAAAAAAATTACATTTTGACCCCAAATTTTAAAAAATAAAAGATGCACACACACTATCTCTTACCCAAATCCACCCTCACCTCTCTTCCTCTTCTTTAACTCCTCTTCATCTTTATCTTCATCTTCATCTTCAATACAACAACCTCATCGTTTTCTTCATCCTCACCGGTCCCTCTCTCCAAATCCTCGTTTTTTTCTCATCCACCACCACCACACCACTACCACTACCACTATCACCACCACTCCACCACCTACTTTCTCTCTCTCTACCCTTCTCTGTCTCCTCCTCCTCCAAACCCCTAGCATCCACCTCTAACATCGATCCAGAAAACCCAGAAATAGAGATCGCCCAATCTCTCTTCTCTGAGCTTCTCAAGGACCCAATTGAAGACTCCTTCTCTATAACCTAACATCTCAATCTCTGTTTCTCTTCATCTTCAATAAGCAACCAAGGTTATTGAGAATCTATAATTGCGTGATAATCTTAATTCTATAAAAATTTACAAATTCCCATCTCTAATTTAGTTGTGTTCACAAATACTTTAGCTCAACAACAATTATAGATCCCGACGTGATTGATATCATTCAAAGTAGCATGTAAAGACATTATTACTCAAAGAAAAAAAAAAAACAAAACAAAACAAAAAACGAATGTAAGTAATCAAGAAGAAAAATGTGACATTATTGGTGCCAGGGATTAGGCTCCAAAGCGTGGCGAAATGACCATTAATCCCCTCTCTCCACCGCCTCTCTACATCACTGTGGTGCATTAAGGCAGCCAATGCGTTTTCTGTTTTTACCCTTTTTTGCCCAGGCATCACCATCACCTTCACAAGCTCTCCCCTCTCACCATCCAACACCAAAGACGAAGAAGACGATGACCTACCTCTTGTTATCTCCTGAAACCCATAAATCCTCGAAACCCCATCAAAAGAACTCGAGAATTCCATCTTTTTCTAAAGAACTATCTCGTACATGAATAAAATCAAACAAAAGATAAGCTATAATTGCATAGTTTCATAATAGCACTAAACCAGGATAGCGATTGGTTGGGGAAGACCAAAGAGATGTCTCTTGAATTGAGTTTGCTAAATTTGGTTCTTTTGACAGTTTCCATCACTCAAGATAGAGAACGAAAGAGAGAGAGTGAGTTGTTTGGATAACTGGGTTTAACAAGAAAACAGAGATTTTTTTGTTCTTGATAATCTTGAATTGGAACATCTTTGGAGTATACCCAATTTGAGAATTGGGAAGAAACTCTCAAAATTCAAAAACTTGAAAGTAAAGTAAAATAGTATGAGGATAGGGTCCTTTTGGAAGAGGGTGAATTTGCATTTATCATTTGAAATTTGGGGTCAAAATGCAATTTTTTTTTTAAAAAAAAAAATTCCGTTTCAAATGTGAAGGTAAGGGAAAAATTGATACAATTGAGAGAGAGTGAGTTGTTTGCATAACTGGGTTTAACAAGAAAACAGAGATTTTTTTGTTCTTGATAATCTTGAATTGGAACATCTTTGGAGTATACCCAATTTGAGAATTGGGAAGAAACTCTCAAAATTCAAAAACTTGAAAGTAAAGTAAAATAATATGAGGATAGGGTCCTTTTGGAAGAGGGTGAATTTGCATTTATCATTTGAAATTTGGGGTCAAAATGTAATTTTTTTTAAAAAAAAAATTTCGTTTCAAATGTGAAGGTAAGGGAAAAATTGATACAATTTTAAAAACTTTGAAGGTAAAATTAAAATTAATCGAAATCTGAGAATGTAATTAATTATCGAAGTAAAGTATATATGTAACAATGAAATTTTTTCAATAAATTCTCAAGAAGAAAGGGAATGTAATAAGTATAGGAATAGTGTGTATACTAATCCACAATCTAATGTAAGGCCCAAAAATTATGGAAACTCCGTTTTATTACGTCACGATAATCTTGAATATTTTTAAATCAAATAAAAGTGATAATAAAAATAAACATTATATTTTGATTTTTCAATTAGGAGTTGAATGTGACTTCCTCCCTAAAGTTCGAATCATTGACCGGTCTCTGCCTATACGTGGGGAACTGGTTGGATAAGAACGATACATTGCATACAGTGTGAAAGATTCTTAACTTGGGAGCAAAGTGAATTTTGATATCAAAATTCAAATAAACAAAAATTGTTTCAGAAAATAGAAATTAAAGAAAGGAACTAAAGAATTAGAGTTCCAATTAACCCTAGACCCATTTCGATAATTTGAAAAGTATATTTATGAATTTTTTTTTTTTAAAATTATTAGATATTAGTACACATTTGACTAAAGCTCCATTTGTTTGGATGAAAAATATTTTCTATAAATTTTTTTTTTCAAAAAATATTTTTTGGAGAAAATATTTTTCTATATTTGGTGGTAGTTGAGGTGGAACAAAGTTGGAAGTGGAGGTGGAGGTAGTGGCATGGTGGTAGGGCAACGACAGCAATGATGGCGATGGCGATGGCGATGGTGATGGTGATGGAAGGTGGTGGTGATGTGACGATATTAGTAAATTTTAGTCTGAAAAATATTTTTTACCTTTTAAAAGTGAAAAACATTTTTTATCCAAATACATTTATTTTCCGTTGAATTTTGTTTTTCATTATACCAAATAATAGAAAATATAAAAAATATTTTTCGTCCAAATAAACAAAGCGTTACAATCACATTTGTATTAAAAATTATAAACAAATAAGATTTGTTTATTTATTTATTATTATGGGCCCCTAACCAACTAATTAAACTAGCTCGGCAAAGGCTATATATATAATGATTTCTTCATCTCCATTATGGGGCTTTTTGTAAGTTATTCGTTTCTTTCCCGTTATAGTCTTTCTTGTATTCTACAGTTAGTGCTACGCCTCGCGAGTTTGTATTGTTAAATTTTTTTAAATAGTTAAAAAAAAAACAGAAGTCTTTCTTGTATTGTACAGTTAGTGCTACGCCTCGCGAGTTTGTATTGTTAAATTTTTTTAAACAGTTAAAAAAAAAATAAAAAATAAAGAAATAAAGAAAGAGAGTGAAAGACTAGTTAAAATACTTAATTTGAAGCATGTTGCAAATGCTTTAAAATCCCACCATGTTGCGTAGATTCTCAATCGGTGCCTTTACACAAAAATAGAGATTCATCCAGATAAGTTGGAATAACATAAAGTCTTGAATAGACCATGAACATAAGAACCCTCTCTTAAATAAAGCAGTTATGCTACTTACACAAAAATCAATCTAAAATCACACTACTTTTTAGATTCGAAGTTAGAGCCTTTATAGAAAAAGAGAGACTCAACCAGATAAGTCGGAATAACATAAAGTTGTAAACAGGTTACGAACATAACTCTTATATAAAGTTCATTATCACCCCTAAACATTGTCAAGCAACAAAGTCTCATATCTGTTCCACACAACAACTAACATGCCTCTTTTCGCATCTAGATCTAATTCTAGTTATAAGGGTCTGAGTCCAGATGGCAAAATCGAGATGACAATCAAACAATTCAAAGTGTGGTTGATGAGAGATGTAAATTAAAGTATAACACAGCCGGTAAAACATTCAGATCATACCTTAGGTGATAGAACCTTAAGCAAAGAATGTCGTGGGTAAATCACGTGCTTCAAGAATGCGCAATAACGAACCCAGCAGTGGAGTGATACCACAATATGAGTATCACCCACACAAGTCACAGTGCAAAGGCTGGATCGTTCTCATAATGAGAGAGAGTTAAAGAGAGAGTATATAAAAATGTTATGGGTAAAAATCACCTAACGTATCTGATATCAATATTATATATATATATATATAATCAGATATATAACCATATATATCAATCTATCCATATTAGTTGATATGATAGATATAGATATCAAGAGTGGGTTATCCAAATAGGTTTTGAATTCAAATTCAAACTTATATGGATAAGGTTCAAAAGGTTCAAAGGATTATGCCACATGGGCGCCCAATTTCTAACATCTCCCACTCGCACATGAGTTAGTATGACACTACCACATCTATATCTTAATCTCCCCAAAAAATAAACAATCTCATACTAGCCAATGCACCATGCGACCGCTGAGAACACCTGCATGTGGGAGCTCTATACTAGAAACTCAAAAATGAGCCAGCATAGAGACATCAACCCAAAAATAAAAATAATGTCTCATATACCCCAGACTAATCTAATTACACTGGTGCAAAAAACATCTCTAATCCCTCAAAAGAGCATGTTTGACCATCTCAATTCTTGCAATATATTCACACTCAATCCGCCTCTCATACAGAGCGGTGTGAGTTGCCAGCACTGAATATACAACAGTGGTGTAATACTAGATGATCTTCCCTTTGCCCTCATGCCATTTAGTTTAGGATTGA